TATAGAAATGTTCTTTCGAGTTTTGAGTGTTTCCATTTACTCACATGGATTAAACAACCTGTTTCTTCACTGTTTCAGTCTCGCCGAGATGTTTTTTCCATTTATTTATTGTCTGCTTAAGGCTCTAAACTCTGAATCTGTTCTTGAGTGTTCTGAACTCAAAGAATGAGACTATTTAAGATAAAATCAAGATAAATGCTTTTACTTCTCAACTTCAATTAAAGATTGCTCTTTGACCCAACGAGGGCTGAGAGAACACTTGTATTAAAAACCTGAACAGAAGTGCAGATATCAAAAAGAAACGAGTAAAATGGTAGAATCATTTTGCAGCACGGTGGTGCAGTTGATAGAGCTGCTGCTTCTCAGGTTGCAGGTTATCCTGGTTCAAATCCTGGTCCGGGGGCCTTTCTGGGTGGAGTTTGTATGTTTTTTTCCGTGCATGTGTGTTTTTTCTCCAGGTACTCCGGTTTCCTCCCACAGACCAAAAACATGCATGTTAGGCTGATTGATAATTCTAAATTGTCCCTAAGTGAGAGAGAGCGAATGGTTGTTTGTCTTGTTTGTCTCGATGGCTGGACATGGGCATCAGGGACCCCCGCGACCCAAAAAGGAAGAAATGGGTAAAAATAATGGATGGTAGAATAAATTTTTTTTGCTCAGTATAAAAATAAATTACTGGAAGAATGCACTTTTTGGTCTGACAGGAAGAACTGATGGAAAAACACTGTTGGAGCATAAGGTACACCAGCTGTTAAGTCTTTGTAAAACGAAAAGTGCACATATAAGATGGATCAACGCCCAGCAGCTCCTTTCTTCAGGTGCTGTCACGAAGCTGTTACCAAATGGCACGAACTGGGCTCACATCTGCCGTCTCAGGATCTCAAGACCGTGACGCGGACCACCGAGCTACCACGACCTCAATTATAGTCAATATAACTCGTTTTCAAAAAACAAAAACAAATGACAAAATCACTTTTACTGTCAAACTGCAATGACGTATTCACCCAGTAATATTGACTAAATGAAAAATAGTGTAAAATAAGGGGGCGTATACATCTTTACATTCTAGTTTGAACACTTTTGGCAGCAATCGCTGCACTGACACATTCTCAGGGAGTCTTTCACATCCGGACACCGAGTTTTACTCCATTTTTCTTTACAAAATTGCTCAGGCTCTGTCAGGTAGTGTGGGGAGTGGACACCAGCAGCCATTTTCAAGACAAACCACGTATTGGGTTTATGTCTAGGCCAATCCTGAACCCCTTGTTGGAGGTCTTGGCTTCTTGCTGGGAAATCTTCTCCAAAGCTTTTGTGTTTACTGTATATATAAACACATTTGCAGGCGTTTGATAATCGTTTCTCTTACCGTCCACTTTAAGAGATGTATGAATTTTCAGTTCTGTGAGTGGTGCTGGCGTCCTGGAGCTTCACGCCTCTCGGCACCAGAGAGGCGTTTCCGTTGGGGATCTGACAGTGGCGTTCTGTTTCTGAATCTTTGGTCCTCGTGCCCCAGTTCATCTCGGCTTTCACACAATGAGCGAACATGGATGCGAATAAAAGTAGTGGTTGATTTCTTCATCTCCACCTTGGAAACCGCACGGCAGGACGCAGTTCTCCATGTAAACACGGGACACCTCCGTATCTGCAAGATCCCACAAAAACTGTTCAAATACGAACCTCATCTTCTCTGATACCAACGTTCCTTCAGAGACATCGCAGAACAAGAACTGTGCTCATCTGAGCCTGGTGCGACGTTAAAACAGTTCAGCAAACTTTGAGCAACATCTGGAAATATGTCTATTTTAAGTACACTGAACAAAAGGTGCGCTTTAATTAAGATGAGCTTTAAGTGAAAACCAGGACCAGGTCAACAAACTCCCTGCTCCAGTTTGTTTTTGTTACATTAACGATTTGAAAACCAAGGATTCCTGAAGGTTAGAAAGTAAACACATGCACATTCTTTCAAACACGTGATGCTCTCATACCTCCCATCAGGGCTTAATATGTAAACCAAACAATGCCGGAACGCAAATAGTGGCGTCTGGGGGTCCTCCCCCAGAGAATTTTGATTTCCTGCATTCTTGTGTATTTTACAAAAGGTTTATTACAGTAGATTAACATGAAATAAAAGATGTAAACTCAAGTATTATTAAAATCTTTATGACTGCAAAGCGTTTGCAACGCCGCTGCAGCTCTGCAGGTAAGGGGCGTTCACTTCAAGACAAATTGAGGTCGCCGATTGGTCAGTTGCTGACGTTGATTGACAGATGAAGGATCCAACTACTGCACAAAACAAAAAAATAAAACATGGATTTCACTGGCCCGTTTAAGACGGTCGTCATTTATTCTATATTTATTTTTCACACCTATCAGATGGGACCAGAGGGGCCCCATCTGTGAATTAGATGAACTTATCAAACCCCTACTGTGAGGTGTGATATGTCAATCTGCATGTGTATGTGTGTATCTTATCTCAGCTTTATAACACTGAACCTCACACTTCTCTGCTCTTTGAATTGAGAAAGCTTCTAGGATGAGAAGCAAAACGTCTTCTACTACAACTAAAGTCCAGTTGTTTTTGACTTAAACTTTTTAGAATTTTCATTTTTATTCCATATTTTTGGTGAATTCATTCAACCTTTATTTAGACACGTAAATCCCATTGAGCCTCGAGGACTCATTTACAAGAGAGACCTGATTTCAACAATGAATGATGACAACAATAGACAGTTCTAAAAAGTCATACAGGTTTATTTATTTTTTTAACAAATAAGACGGCTAAAAAAAAGAAAATAACAAAAAAACAGCTAGATTCTAAGGCGAATGTAGAAAACTAAAAACAGGAACATGTCTGCATTGGTCCCTGCCAGGAGTCCAACAGATTCTTAAAGCCACTTAGAGAGGTCAAGGTCTGGAGCTTCAGGTCTTTTTGTAAGATGTTCCAGGAAACAGGAGCAGAATAAGGAATAAGGTAAATCATTGCACGGGGACCGTGTATGTAGAAGCACAAACAGAGCGACTTGACCTCAGTCTGTCCACAGAGTACTCCTGCGTCCTCGGACCAGTACTGATGAAGCACCTGCAGCTCCTCAATAAAACCATCGTGGAAACTTTTGTCGGGCAGGCGCCCACTCTGGGACAACAAGCGCTGCTCTCAGTTTTTGGCTACACTTAGAAAGAACTGCCGAATATTTAGCGCTTTGTCACTGGCTTAGAAAAGTGTTGCTCTCAATCCTCCTGCTCAATTCAGAGAAGCGTCCTGGTCGCTCAGGCATCGCTTCCAATACTCTGACTGCACAACAAACAGCTTTATGAGCCGAGATCATCGTCTCTTTGTTGCAGTTCACATAACTCCTGCAGTGATTTGCACATCAAATTGTTCACAAAAGCACAGGAACTTATGCACAGCGCAAAACTTTAATTATATATTTTTTCATTCAACCTTTATTTATACAGTTAGTCTCAATGAGCCACGAGGACTCATTTACAAGAGAGACCTGATTTTTGTGGTTTTTAATCAAATTGCCCGTGACTTTGAACTTTCAGGGGCAGAGAGGTTTTTTTAAGCAGAAATGTGAAGCAACAGCTCTGATTTGATATTAGGACGTTTGTTATGTTTAAAATGAGTGTTTATGTAATTTCAGTTTTCATATCCAATATAGGTTTTATTCATTCAAGGCAGTCAAATTTGTTCATAACTTTATTATTATTAGGCCTGAGAGTTACCGGAACGCACCCTGTCAAAATAAGAGCGTCCCTGGATCTTGTTCCAGCAAGATCCGGCTCAAATTAAGCCCTGAAAACATCACTCACCTCGAAGTCGTCAAAATGCAAGAAAATATAATCGCTAAAATCCTGACGCAGCTCAGCCGGATCACGTTCTCGTTGACGCTGATTTGCAGTTGATCGCACGATTCTTCCCAAAAACTTGGTGACTTGTCGCTACGCGCCCGGTGGAATGAAAACACAACAGAGCTTTATCTTTTACCTGAACAGTGAGTCTCATGTTGGTACTCATAAAGCCCGAAAACAATCAACTCGTTTTAATATTCAAGAAAATAATAAAGTTTTCACATTTTTTAAATTTTATTAACCTGTGCAGAGGACGTGCATTCTAGGTTTGATACAGAAAGCATTTTCAAAGGTAATTTATAAAACTAACAGTTCTCAAAAACTCATTATAAACAATCGGAACATATTTTTGCCTTTAACGTCTTTCAGTGAACACTGAGTTTGTTTCGTTTAATCCTTCAGATATCTGTGTAGAGTGTTATTAAAGCTTGTTTGTCCATTTTATCCCCACGGTACCAGAACTTCTCCTGCGGAGTCTTTCACCGACAGAATCTTTACTCTGTGGGAATGTTTCCCTGTTAGTCCACGTGAATCTTTCTCCAACAGTCCATGTTAAGTTCTCCTTAACAAAACGTCGCCTTAGAACGTTAACACTAAAATGATTTTTCTCCGTAGAAATCTTTTACCAACAGAATCATTTCCTCACGTTTTTTCTGTTGGATAAAATATCCTTGCACTATCTACTTACAAAAAAAGGAGCCTCGCACGATGACAGATTTTTAAACCCAGTTCACTTGCAAGGGCAGAGCTCACCACAGGCTTAAACAGATGTTTCATTGAAGCCTTGGTCGCGAAGCTCTGTGCCAGTCAGTATACAATAAGTGTTTTTTATCAGCACGATGACCTCGACCTCTCAGCACAGACTCGGAGGTGACCTTGGACTGCACATGCAGCTCTTCTCTGAGAGGAAAACAACTCTTGGAGGATCTGCCAGGCTGATTCTGGCAGATCCTGATCATCCACTCCATGGTGAGTTCAGGTTGCTTCCATCTGGATGCAGGTATCTGCTGCCCAGATGTAGAACAGACTGAAAATCTCATTCATCCCTGTAGTGATCAGGCTTCTCAACCAACAGTGATGATTTCTGTACTGTTATTTCAACGTCTTAATTTTGTCTAGTACGGATGTTTTATGCGCCTACTGACTGTGAAACAAATTGCTCCTCGGGGATAATAAAGATTCTTGAACTTGAACTCGTGACTCACATGGTTCAACATTAATTGTTGTGATAAACATCCATAAACCTTTACCAAGATTCCCCTGACGTTTCCCCCCATTTATTCTACACCGGAATCATTCCTTAACATTTTTTGTGCGTCCTTTAAATGTATTTTTTTTTCTTGAACGTTTATTTCCTTCATTTTTCACAAACAGAAAAGTTCCTAAACAAAATCTTCTTTTCATGACAATAATTCCCTAAGCGTGTTTCCTTTGTATAAAAAAAAAACAAGGTCACTAACAGATTAACAATGTATCTGCCTCCTTCAAAATGTTCTCAACAGTTTATCTCCTTCTTATTTATTTATTTATTTATTACTAATGGGGGAAAAATGTCATCCTACACTTGAAATGACCCTCATAAAATCTTTCCTTTACAGCTACTTTAACAGAATACTTCCCTGATGGGAACCACGGTCAGAAACCAGACAATCAAACATCGGTTCAGTCGGTTTCTTTCCCACAGTTTTGGTGTTTGAAGCATTTTGGACTCGGTTCGTTCGTTCAGCTCGTGGACCACCAGAGTCCAGGTCTATGGGGCCCACAGGTCACAAAAACAAACAGATCTATATGTAAAAATAAGAATACCTATCAAAGCATCGGATGTTTTCTAGCAAAACAGATAATGTGCTGAGTTTTGACCCGAAACACAAAGCTGAGCAGGGATTAAACAGAACGGTTTGAGTTTTTAAAGGTTTTTCTTTCCACCTCTCAGACGAACAAACTCCAGAGATTTCAGTCTTGACTGAAGCCGTTTCAGATCTCGTCTTTCTTCGGCGACTTCTTCAACCCGTTCCGTTCATCTGCTCCACAGAAATGCACACAGATTAAATCCTTAAGAGTTTTTTTGTTCACTATAAAACACAACATAATCTGAAGTTATTTTAAAAGAGACAGAAAATCCATTTAATTGAGGATGTTTTTACCTTGTTTTGCTTTTACAATAAAAAACTAGTAAAAGCACAGCAGCAGCAATCAGAAAGACTACGATCACACCCACTATGATGCTTCCAGTGCGGGACGGTTGTTCTGGAACAGGAAAAAATCTGGTAACTGAAGCGGTCCTGAAGATACTTGATGTTTGTTGTGACTTGTTACCTGGAGTTACTCTCAGAATGAAGTGGTTGATCGTGTGCTCCTCGTCACCACCGCCGACTTCACACGTGTAAACTCCCTCCTGTTGTGGAGATAAGTCCTGCAAGGTGAGGCCGCCGGACTCTGAGACCTCCTTCACGTGTTTCCTCCACTCCTCTGAAACCTCGTCGGAGGCGTCACCCTCAGGCCTCGTCAGGATGATCTGACTGTGGTTGAATCTCCAGACGAGGTTCGTTAGAGAACTGTTTGACTCGGCGCAGGGGATCGTTTTAAAATGACCATTTGTAGCTGAAATGTAAAAAACATGTTTTCAGTAATCAGAAGTTCTATTCCATCTATTTTGTTTTTTTTAATTTATGAGTCATACTGTTAATGCTCCTGGGAGTTATTCCAGAAAGACTCCATCTTGCACCCCCCCCAAAAGGGTTTCTTTCGCAATTTCAATTCAATTCAATTCAATTCAAATTCAAAAACATTTTATTAATCCCAGAGGGGAATGAAATGTTCTTGTAGCTCATATTCCTGGTTTCATTAAAGAGTGTTAGATGCTGATGTCTGTGGCAGGAAGAATCTCTTGTGGAGGTCCATCTTATAGCGGATCTGAAGAAACTGGCGGCAGATGTTGATCCGTTTACTTGGCCTTGGTGAGCCTCTCGGTCCTCCTGGGCAGCAGGACCACTTGAATGTTGAGCAGAACTCCTCCCAGAGCGATGGTCGCTCCTCTTAGCAGCTTGTTGAGCTCCTCATCATTGCAGACAGCCAGCTGCAGGTGTCAGGGATGATCCTGGTCTTCTTGTTGTCACGAGCCGTGTTTCCAGCCTGATCCAGGATTTCCACCAGGTAGACGGAGATGCATCCATGGTGCCTCTTTTACAACCCATTTGGAATTTGGGGCTGTAGTTGAGGTATTATTTGAGCTTTGAGATGTTAATCAACTGGTCCCAGTTGTAAGAAACACCTTGTTGCCATGGTTATGCATCATAACAAATGTCTAAAAATAAAAAGGTTTAATATATAAGGTATAAGGTATAGGTATAATATACTCGTATAGTACAGTATACTTGTATACTTGTATAGTACACAGTAGTATACTCATATAGTATAGTATACTTGTATAGTACACAGTATTATACTCATATAATATAGTGTACTCGCGCATCATCTCAATATATACCTTCCTTCAACGAATGCTAGGGCCAAAGTTATACTTCAGGTTGCATGAGAACCGTCTGACATAAAGATCTAAAAGCATTAAGGCAGCAACGTTGGTAGAAACCAACATTTGTGTCATTCTCAGAACTTTTGTCTTCATATGTAAAAATAATACTCACACTGTTGCCTCACAACAGCTGTTCTTTGGTTGCTTCGAGTTCTGACAGTGCAGTTGTAGACCAGATCAGAAACTCTGTCTGAAACCATCAAAAAACTGCTGATGCTGTAAAGTGGGTGTTCAGGCTGCTGGGTTATATATCTGCTCTGGAGTGTGGTGTTTAACGGAGAGATGACGGACCAGGTGAGATTAGGTTCAGGGTAGATCCCCTCTGAGCTGCAGGTGATCCTGTCTCCTGCCGCAGTGATCCTGACTCCAGTGACCGGAGCTGCAAAATAATAAAAATACAAATTAAATATGTGTTTTCCCTTGCTTATTTTAATCTAAAAAATGTCTAAATGTATTAAAACAACTAATTAAAGCTACAGAAATACGTTTTTGTCATATGGAATTCATTCATTATAGCTATTTGTGTAAAAGTTGTGACACAGTGCAACTAAATACATTAATTTAATATAACAATTAGCAACATATTTAGACCTTGTGTTTATTTTAGGGTCTGAACAGTTTGCTGTGACAGGACTGAGGTCATGTTAGCTAGTTTAAATTTTACTGTGTCACAACCTTTGTTTTGAGAGTGTGTTTTAAAACACCACATTCAGTGAAAATCTTTAAAAAAAAGATTAATAGTCTCACACAGCTCAAGCAATGGATACACAATACAAATTTTACAAAGCAGCCAAACAATGATTGTCTGAAGAAAGATTTATGTTTCACAGGAAGGAGCTGGAAAGTCAGTTGTAGTAAAAACATGGTAGCACAGTACTTACAGAGTATGTACCAGGTACTTAAAAAACATGTTCCTGGCACTTATGGATTACATATTTATTACTTACTGACTACGTACTTGGTACTTAAGAAGTAGGTATTTGTTACTTACTAGGCAATTACCTAATACTTATTAGGTGTAAACCCATTACTTACAAGATACTTATTGGATATGTACAGTGTGCACTTACATGATACTTATGGGGCCTGTCTGTAATGTGAAATGACTTGTACCTCTGTAAGTATCTCCACAGCTGCTCAGATTGTACCTTTAGGTACCCCATAATTACCCTGTAAGCACCATCAAAAGCATCTCATATGTGCAACATAAGTACCATCCAAGTATCCCCATTAGCACCCTTTATGTGCCCCATTAGCACCATTTAGGTTCTCCAGAAGTACCACATAAGTGCTCAATAAGTTTCCTCAAAAGTATCCTATGGAAAATCCTTAAATACCCTGTAAGTACCCCTGTAAGTATCAAATAGGTATCCCATAAGTAAATTGTAAGTATTCCCATAGGTACCCTATAGAAACTCCATATGTGCCCTGAACGTAAATATTAGGTACCTTGTTCCTGCTCTGTAAGCATTTACATGTGCACCCTGTGATTATTGCTAAAGGTTTCTGATTTGTATAATATAAGTATCCATGAAAGTATCTTATAGATACTCCCTTTAGGTATACCCATTAGTACCCTTTAGGCGGCCCATTAGTTCCCTGTAAATACCCTAGCTGTGCCTTATAAGTACTCTGTAAATGTCCTCATAAGTTTCCTGTAAGTATTGCCAAAGTTCACAATTGTTATCCTGTGGGTAAGTATACTGTAAGTATCCCCTTATGTACCATATATGTACCCCATAAGTATTGCAGTAAGTACTCCATAGGTACCCTGTAAGTACCAGGGATGTACCTCATAAGTATTTCTGCCAGAATCACTACAAAACAGTGTTTCAGTGTTAGTTTGTATGTATTTGTGGTGGTGTGGTGGTGCTTGTCCTACCATCAACTCTGAGGTTGATAATCGAAGCCTCCGTTCCTGTGATCGTACTGACTGAACACTTGTATCGTCCCTGATCCTGAACCGTCACCTCTCTCAACAGCAGAGAGGCGTTTCCTTTGGAGAGCTCATTCTTGAACAGCGATGTTCTGTTTCTGAATCGTGGTTCCTGGCGGTCCAGATCGTCTTGGTTCTGATAAAATGAGTGGACATGAACGTTTTCTGAGTAGATATATTGGACGACTACTTCATCTCCTCCTTGGAAACTACATGGCAGTATGCAGTCCTTGAAGTAAACACAGAACACGCTGCTTTCTGAAAGATTAAAAAGAGTTAGTCAGTAAAGAACTGGATTGGATAAAAACTTCCACTGAGCTTTTGGGCAGTTGTCTGAACTGGAAAACGAAACTGAGAGTCCTGGTGCCATTTTGTTGGTAGGACTCCCTCTAAAACAACAGACTCACATTAATGATGTTTTGAAAATCAAAGGTAACACTTTACAATAAGGCCCATAAAATTTGATTATCTACTAAGGAACGAATCAGGAACAAATCAGGAGCTAATGGGTAGTTAAGAAGTACTTACTGGGGAACGCACAGCCAAGCCTTGTTAGGGGACTACTGGTTAGTTACCTGGGAAATGAAGAGGAACTAATCAGGAACTAATGGGTAGTTACCATGGAAACCAAAGATGAACGAATCAGGAGCTAATGGGTAGTTAACCAATTCTTAACTGGGGAACACACAGCCAAGCCTTGTTAGTGGACTACTGGTTAGTTACCACAAAAACAGAGGAGAAATTCTCCATTTGGGTTCTGAATAAACCTTGCACCAGTGAGGTCACAGCTCATAATGGTCAAAAACCTGTTTCCTAGTGATTACTGGTTTTATTGGATTCTTAGCCATTTCATAATCTTGTACTGCTGTCATCTTAACTATGTCTGACTATCACTTTCTGAGTACCAAATCATTGCCTGGCTATTATTCAGAACCCACATGGAGAATTTCTCCTCTCTTTCTGTGGTAACAAACCAGTAGTCCCCTAACAACGCTTGGCTGTGTGTTCACCAGTAAGTACTGGTTAACTACCCATTAGCACCAGATTTGATCCTCT